TAGTTTGTTGACTTCCTCCACCGCCCGCTTGAGCTTGATCTCAGCTCGGTTCTGGGCATCCTCCACTGTGATGAGCACATGGAGGTCCTCGTTCAAATGCTCCCAGTTGGGCTTGCCTCGGTTTTGTTCCTCCTGGGCCGAAAGAAAGAGAGAGAGAGAGAGAGAAAGAGAGAGAAAGAGAGAGAGAGAGAGAGAGAGAGAGAGAGAGAACAACATATTTACTGCTATGCTATCAAGGAGGTCAACTATTCAGCTTAATTTGCAAATTGAAAGAAAGCTCATTTCTATCAACGCACAAAACTTCTGATTTGTTATTATTAGTCATCTAGAAGTTAACGGTAAACAAACTAGAAGATTTTTTTGATGTAAAAACCAGTGTGTTCAACATTCCCTGCAGAGAAGCCCAACTCAGGCTCTTTCTGAAAACATAGTACTATATGAACAGTTCAGACGCAAAAGCCGCTAGATGCCACTTCCTCCAAAAATGAGATAATGACATTGAGTGAATGCTTTAGGCTCGTAGTACACCATCAACAAATAGATTTGCTTCAAATCATCCAAATCCCAGCGTCAGCGCATTCAGAAATAACAGTTTGTTGGCAAAAGCCGCTAAACACCACTTGCTTCTGACAGCAAAAGCCGCTATATTCCGAGAACCAATCAGAAGGTGTGAATCGAATCATATGCTTTCAATGTAGCAGCGTGCGAATACGCCGGTTTTTAAAAACTAACATCTATAGCTGCATCACAACTGGGTTTGAACCCATTACCTCTGCATGCTAGTAAGAAACTTTCACCACTCCACTAAATGACTGTACTCTTTCCTTGCTTAAGCTGTTCCAGAGCAATACATAAAAATGACCACTAGGTGTCACTGTAGAGATATGTTTCGAAACGTTTCGAAGCTTTGACACATTTGCTTTGACTGTTTCAGTTCTTAATAAAGCCTCGCTCTGCCCACCACTAAGATGTAGACGGGGCGTTGGATGGCGGAGTGGTATCATGTAATGGGGGGAAGGGACGAGGGGGGGGGTATCACGGACGACAGTAAAGAGAGTTGGAGAGTCACGGAAGAAAGTGAAAATGAACATCCGACAGGAGAGGAGGGCGGTTGAGGAGGAGGATCGGTAAAATAAGGTGCTGTATCAGAATTCAGAAGAGCCGGATCCGGAGTGTTCTGGCACAAAATAAACCCTGCCTGCAACAGGCAGAAACTAGCAAAAAAAGACAAGGTCCAAAGTGTGTAGATTTAATTTTCAGACTCTTGATGACAAAATATTAGACAGCATATCTGCATAGTATATATTGCAACACCCCTCGGCTACAATATAGATTCTAACAGAGTTCACCAGAAACACAATACAGTACATGTGTTTGGATTTGATGAAGTTCAAGATAGAAGTCGGGGCTTGCCTCAACTCCCACTCTTGCCGAGGGGTTTGATACCTTCATATAACCATAGTGCAACTGCAAATCTAATAAAAACACTACAACAGAGAGGATGTGAAAGTAAAAAAATAAAACGGAGAAGCTGCTTCTTTGATCTGCTGTGTGCTACCACAGCAGAAGTCAGGATGCCATGTATATGTCATCTTGTGAGACGCGGCTCTATAAAAGAGACCTCGTAAAATTCCTACGGTCTCAAGACAGGCAGTGACAAAAGCTTCACAGCTAGCGGAGAGGCAACAATAACACGAGCAACAAATCAAAAGTAGATCTCTGCTGAAACTGAGTCAGAGCTGATGTGTTTGTTTCCTGTGTTAATAGGCTTTTAACTCAACTTAATGTACAGAGACAGTTATTTTTATGCTTTAGAAGAGTCAAAAACTTAAATACTGCACCTTTAAATCTACGCAGATTATGTTTTTACTTCTAGAACTTACTCCGCTCTACTCTGGCACACAGGTAGCAGTAGAAGTATTCTGGAAACATTAGCAGGGCCGGTATGTGTTCAGCTAAAACATGCAAATCTAGTTATTTTCTTTCTGTTTTGTTGGTCTAGCAAGTGAAGCAGAAATATAGCCGCTTTAAAAACTAAATTATATGACTGGAAAGCATGAAAAGTTTGGATTCAAAGGCTTTGAAGATTGCTGAGGGGCGAACTGCTTAATTGATAGAAACCCCGAGCACATTAAATTAAAGGGGCTCGTTACAGTTCGCCTACGCCACCGCTTTTGTTTGTCTGCGTTTGGCTTGTTTTGCTGTTTTCCTGTAGGATTTCCAAAAAAATATCAAGATCTGATTTATGCAATAATCAGATATGCAAACAGTTTTTATTTTTTTCTCTTCATGACTGCAAATGGGAAATTGATGGCAATCAGCGTCGGCGTCTGTGTTGCCGCGTTCTGCCTGCTGATTTTCATTAAGGATCCATTGTTGCCCCCTCTTTTTTTTTTTTTTTTTTGCTGTGAAGCGAGGAACGGGGAAAACATTGGCCTGCGTATCACCCACCACACTCAATATGATTCATCATTCAAGACGCTGGTGCTCGGCTATCATGAGGTCACTTCCTTTTTTCATTGTTCGGCCTTTAGGTTGCGCTTGGCTGATTTACTTGGCTTTCCTTGGTCGTGACAAGTGCTAACAATTGATTTTCAGAGGCTGACTGTCACAGAACAGCAACATATACACAGAAACGCTGTCAATAACCGGACGGAGGTGGCCAAGAGGGACTAGAGATTGGTTGTTGACATGACTTTGCATTTTCACTATCACACATATAACATAAAGTGATTATGGTCACACTTTACAATAAGGTTCATTAGTTAATGTTAGTTAATGCATTTACTAACGGGAACAAACACTGAACAATACATCTACTACTGTAATTGTTCATGTTAGTTAATGAAAATACAGTTGTTCATTGTTAGTTCATGTTAACTCATGGTGCATTAACTAATGTTAACAAGCATGGACTTGGATGTTAATAATGCATTAGTAAATGGTCAATTATGATTAATAAATGCTGTACATGTGTTGTTTATGATTAGTTCATGTTAGTAAATGCATTAACTAATGAACCTATTGTAAAGTGTTACCGTGATTATATTTAGTATTGTCATCATTTAAAATGCAGCCAATGGTAAAATATTTTATCTTCCATGGAACTCTTGTTATCAAAACTGCTGTGTTATTATATATTTTGAGCTAAATCTACTGTCCTATGGTGTGACTATCAAGCATATGCTCAAAAAATGTACATAATTTTTGCTGGTTGTTCAAACTACTTATCTAAACAAGCTGAATCAACACAACACTTGGTTTAGGAGGTGGTGGTGGTGGTGGGGGGTGCTTAATGGTTTTTGCAAACTTAAGTTCATTTAATTTGAAACACTTAAGTTAACTCAATTTGTGTTAATGGCGTCACGGTGGCTCAGTGGGTATCACAATCGCATTTCTGTGTGGAGTTTGCCTGTTCTCCCCGTGTTCACATGGGTTTCCTCCAGGTGCTCTGGTTTCCCCAACAAGTTCAAAGACATGTGGTATAGGTGAATCGGGTAGGCTAAATTGTCCTTAGTGTATGTGTGTGAAAGAGTGTGTATGAGTGTTTCCCAGTGCTGGGTTGCATCTGGAAGGGCATCAGCTGTGTAAAACATATGCTGGATAAGTCGGCGGTTCATTCCACTGTGGCGACCCTAGATTAAAAAAGGGACTAAGCTGAAAAGAAAATGAATGAAGGATAATTTGTGTTGAGTCAACATGAGGGATTTGCGTTGAACCCAATATTTTTTTTACAGTGTAGCTCAATAAATTACTGCTCTTAAAAATTAAAAAGAAAATCATTAATCAAAGCCTTAGGCTTAATTTTTCAAGTGGCTATTTTAGTAAATGGCAATCATTTTTTTTCATCTTTATATTTCTAAAAAAGCATCGTCACGGTCAGGGGCTGATTTAACCAATAAGCAAGGTGAGCGGCTGCTTGATGCCTCAGAACATCTGAGGGCCCCCAATAAATAACTAAAAGTGTAAATTACTTCTGTAAACTACTGTATATATAACATTTGACACATCCTGTCATATTTTGTATAGTGAGAGTCAAACAAATACAATTGTTAAGTCATTAAACATTATTTATTTATTCATTCATTCATTTTCTTGTCGGCTTAGTCCCTTTATTATTCTGCGGTCACCACAGCGAAATGAACCGCCAACTTATCCAGCAGGTTTTTACACAGCGGATGCCCTTCCAGCTGCAACCCATCTCTGGGAAACATCCACACACACTCATTCACACACACACTACGAACAATTTAGCCTACCCAATTGACCTGTACCGCATGTCTTTGGACTGTGGAGGAAACCGGAGCACCTGGAGGAAACCCACACGAACGCAGGGAGAACACGCAAACTCCACACAGAAACGGCAACTAACCCAGCCGAGGCTCGAACCAGCGACCTTCTAGCTGTGAGGCGACAGCACTACCAACTGCGCCACTGCGTCACCTTAATATTCTTTAATATACAATAAAATATAATATTACTGTAGTCATGTAATGTTACGTAACTATAATAGCACATAGGATCACTAAACAGTTTGAAAGACAAATGATCATTTTGATAACCCACCCTAAATTAGAACATGATTTCACAGAAACTAAAATTGTAATACTGTACTTTGTAATCAGAACTACAAACTCTACCTATTACAACTCCAGTGAAACAATAAGATCAGAGTCCTTAAGGCAATTGTGACGTAGTAAACTGACATGGCTAATAAGGATCACAAAAAGATCGGCTGAAATTTGCTACATTTCCCAAATATCTTCAAGCGATATGGATTATTAGAGTATCAGACATATTTATAGTACCTCCGTGATAACTAATGTGATAAAGGTACTAAACAAGGTACTAAACACTTTGTTTACACTTTACGTGCGCTCGTCGGAAGTTCGGGTTTCCCATTGTGAATAAGAAAACAAATACTGCCGTTCGTGGAAGAGGAAAGAGGAAGGTCTTGTGTAGGCGCAGAACGTTATCTCTCGTTTCAGTCGGCTTTCGTCCATTTGGTGTGTTCACAAGCAGCTTTTTGGTACAGACCAGGGGCCTCATGTACGAAGACTTGGTGGAAATCATACTAAAACATTGCATACGCTGTAAATGTGCGTACGCAGACAAAAATTCAGATGTATGAA